GCCGAATCTCCCTGATTGTGTTCGGGCCGGCTCGGCTCAACCCGCTATGTACGATGGCCAGCTCTGACAGCTCGAGTGATGAAAGAGCACAGAGCGGCCAGGCTGAACACAGAGCAGGGCTGCCCCGCCCCCATCACCAGCCGACATCAGCCTGAGACAGGGGGGGACTGTGTGCAGGACACCGCGCTGTGAACGCTGTGACCGAAGATCACAGGACACGGAGTGTGAGCTGACAAGGGGGAGGAGGTTAACCATTGCTGTGCCAGTAAGTTGGTTTAAGATCCTTATGTATATCTATAATTAATGCAGTGAAGTCCAAATACAGGGTGCTCAATGCTGACTGCTTTATTAAAGGTTGAAAAATGCACAATGCAAATATACACTATATCAAAATGAAAAGCATTTAGGTGATTTGCATTCAAAGTCTTGACCAGTCTGGGATCTGCAGGTGACGCCTGTAAAATTGGGGGACATGGGACCAGCTCCCTTGTGGTAGCAGGTATCTTTTAGCCTCACACATCTTAAAGTGACAATAAAGTTAAACTTTTTTTTCCCCCTTCCCAATCCTACTGTAGGGACTTACCTTAAAGGATGTCTCTTAGGCCTCATTCACACGAGAAACAGCCGAGAAACAGCTGCGTGCACGGCCGTATCGGGCAGCTCCTGAGTACGTGGCCGTATGCCGCCCTATGCTCACCCACCCTGCACGTCTGTGCGGGTACTCGTACGCTGACAGGATGGATACTGTCTGCTTCCAATACGGGACACCTGTACCCATACGGACCTGCACTTGGGGTGAGCGTAGGGTGGCGTATGGTCATGTACTCCCATAGAGAAGGACAGGGGCTGCGTACTAATCACACGCAGCACCTGTCCTTCCTGGGAGCTGCCCAATATGGCCGTGCACGTTTACCCAAATAGAGCTTTCTTTTGGTGCTATTTGATCGCCGCTGGTTTTTATTAAAAAATTTTAGACAAATGAAAAAAGACAAAAAATTGTGGAAATAAATATTTTCAACTTTTTGTTATACAAAATATCAAAATCTCCTGCCTACCTTGTTGCACGGAGGAGGCTGTGAGGCGGCATGTCAGTCTGCTGCAGACCTTCCCAATCGATCCTGCACAATCCTTTCGGCCAGCGTTCACTGAAAGAGCGCTGGCCGAAAGGATCCGAGTGCCGGCGCAGACTCAGCTACACGGTCTGCATCCGACAGAGATGCAGACCGTGTAGCTGCTCCCGCAAGTCAGGTATGCGGTCCGTGACCGCATACCTGACTTCTGAGCTGGCTGCGGGTCACAAAGTACCGGCTCCCAGGCCGCCAGTGGCCCGCGGACCGGTACATTGAGACCCCGGCATTTTTGCAGTTCCCTTGGAATATGCCTCCCGAGGCAAACGCCTTGTTTGCCTTGTGGCAGATACGCCCCTGCTTGCCACACTTCCGGACCCCAGATCTGTGGAGCAGCTCTAACATCCACGGAATCTCCCACCAAAGATGCCAGCCTCCTAAACTACAAGTACCTTGGCTTAAGCCCATTGGACTTACAGGACACCATTGCCTGTTATTATCCATTAACTCTGCATTGATATTTGCTGTTGTTGCTGAATCCATTGATTCTGCATTGATACTAACTGCTGATGCTAACTCCATTAACTCTGCATTGATATTATCTGTTGTGCTAAACTCCATTAACTCTGCATTGATATTAGCTGTTGTGCTAAATTGCATTGACTCTTTATTGATACTCTATACTACTGCCGTCAGTTGGCTTAGATTCATACTACTGTATATCCGTTCCTACACACGGGGCATGATGTGAAGCAGCTCCTTCTCCGCCTTACTCATATACAGGTGAAACTCGAATAATTAGAATATCGTGCAAAGTTCATTTATTTCACTAATGCAACTTAAAAGGTGAAACTAATATATGAGATAGACTCATTACATGCAAAGCAAGATAGTTCAAGCCGTGATTTGTCATAATTGTGATGATTATGGCTTACAGCTCATGAAAACCCCAAGAACCCCAAATCCACAACCTCAAAAAAGTAGATTATTACATGCAATCAATAAAACAAGGATTGTACATAGAACAATATCGGACCTCTGAAAAGTACAAGCATGCATATGTACTCAGTACTTGGTTTGGGCCCCTTTTGCAGCACTTACTGCAATTACTTTTGCACGATATTCTAATTATTTGAGTTTCACCTGTACTGGGCACCAGAGACCTAGCTGCAAAACTGATCCCCGTCTTTCCATTTATAGGCGTAGGTTCCGTAGTTGCGATCCATAAACAAACCCCCCAGGGGCAAGGAATTACAACGGCAGCTGAGACCCCCCATGCGTCACTGCACCAAATCAGTCAAGCAAACCAAATGGCAAACGCACTCATCAATTTGTAACCAGCTCTAAGCAAGGTGCACATGGAAGGGCTTTATACAGTACAACAGCAAAACGTTTCCCAGCATACTCACCAGCCAGCATGCAAAAAAACTTGTCTCACCGCTAAGTGCACTGGTTAGGCGTATGTGACATACTGTAGAGCAGGGGCAGCGAATTAAGATATAAGGAGGTCAAGTAAGTAAAATTTTCACTAAAATGCACAGTGGCTGGGGTAGATATCAGGAGTCTCAGGACTGTGGAATGTACAACGTAGCATACAGCTGCTTAGACCCACTAGAGAAAGAGAATGAGAAACATTTTTAAAGAAAACATACATTTCATGCAAAGGTGGGCCTCATTGCTTTGATCATTTAAAAAAACCTGAACCTTTATATTAAATATTAATATTTAATACTTGAACGTACTTGGATACATTTTAAAGAGTTAACTCCTGAGTTTAGTGTCACTTTTACATATTGGGTGCAGGGGTCAGAGTATGTAAAATGCAATATAGACCACCAAAAATCGTAGTACAATAGTGTGGAGGGGGGCTAATCCCCATCACCCATGATCAGAAGAGGACCCCTTGTGATGGCTACATAAGTTCTTCCATTTCGAAACTCGGAGCACAGGGCTCGCTGTGTTGTAGCCATGACTCTGGACTGACATATAACAGAACGTATATATCTGCTGAATAACTGGAAGTGAACTCTACAGACTTCTGTGTATGGGGTCAGCTGGTACAGTATGCAGGTAGGACATCGGTTCGGGTCCGATGGAGGAGGTGATAGTGACACAGCAGCGATCCTCGTATTGCTGTCACTCACAATGTGTGTGTGCTGGGAGCGGTGACTCCCCGTGTCTCCATGGTAACGCGGCTAGCTGTGCGCCCAGACAGTGAGCTGTACAGAGGCCGGCGCGGTGTACACAGCCGGGACCCCGGGAACCCCATTCCGTGTAAGTCATTCCATGTCCTGTGTGTACAACATGTAAAGATCGCAAATCGTTTTGCTGACTTTCTGTAACCTCCCACATCTTGTATGTTGGAAGTGTGGTAGAAGTAATACAAGCATTTCCTACATAAAGGACAACTACTTGTTCCATCCTGTTTAGATGCATTTTTGCATATTTGTGTCGCATGCATTTCAATGGGCTGCTTTACGCACGACCTAAATGCGGCAAAGAACCGCATGCACCCTCTGGAGCAATCAGCGCCACTCATTTGTATCTGCATGTTTCTTGCCCATTTGTCATGCATTTTTGCATTTATTCCCCGTTCACACCTTCATGTTCCGTGAGCACACGCCCAACGTGTGCATTGACGCGCACTCACGGAACGCATCAAAAAAGTGCAATGCGCTTGTGCTGCCATTACTTGTTAAAGGCACCCCAAACACAGCCAGGAAAACTCACATTCTCCCCCCTCATTAATTTGTGCTAAACATTCACAAACACGTAGTGACAAAACACAGAACGCCTGTAGCAGAATCTACTCAATTAGTGGCTTTCCCTCGTTTGTTGTACGCTCAGCACCCATTGAAATCACTGAGCAACGCACAGCGACTGCAGGGAAAAACATGCGAATGTGCATGAACACCACACACACTCACAGAAATGTGAAGGTGTGAACGGGGATTTAGTGTGTTCTGGCCCGATTGTGGCCGGAACGCACTGGATGGCATTGTGGCCAACTCAGTTTGTTGTGGGACGGGGGGAGGCGTAGGCGCGGGAGAGGGCGTGATCAGCCGCACGTGAACACAAGCCACGTCAATGCAAGCACTATTTTTTAGGACCGGACTACAGGCATTAATGTGCCTCGCGCTCCTGTGCAGCCGGAGGGTGTGGCTGTGGTGCCAGTCACTTCAATGCACCGCTAACGGTGAATCCACGTTCACACCTTTGCATTCCTTGAATACGCACCAAACACACTAATTAAACATGTCAAAAACATAGTATACAAAAACATACTATATGCTTGCGGTGCCATTATTCTTTAAGGCCACACCAAAAGCCACTGGGATAACACACAAACATGTAAAAAATACGCAACATGCCTGTAGCAGAATCTGCTACATGAGCTACTTTTTTTGCATTTGTCGCATGTGCAGCACCCTCTAAAATCAATGGGCAAAATGCAGGAAAAAATGCACGTGAGGTGTGAATGGGGCCTGATTTCCACCAGAAGGGTGCTGCACTCACAGGTCCTTAGACAGCTGAAGCTGAGGGGAAGAGAGGCTATAGGGACTGGTCTAAGAGCATGCCAGCTCCTAGGATCGGGCGGGTATAACTTTTAAAAAAAAAATCTTTATTTAAAGTTTTTCAATAATACAGACAATACATCAAAGAACACAAAGGATAGGACAAAATACAATCCGGCGTATATATCGGTAAAGTCAGACATTCATAAAGTGACCAACAGTATAGCGGCTATCACAAGCCAAAAAGGGTGGTATGTGGAGCACTCAGGTACCCGTGTATATATAGCAGTATGAGATCCCAGGGGCTATGGACATGAGCTGATTAATATTGTTTTTCTTCTCAGGGATACTTTTTACTACAATCATACTGGGATGTATGACCGTGCGCCGAGAACGTTTGCTGTTACTTTGGGCAGCACTCAGGAAAATGTGGGCCCAGGAACATATGACTTGGCCATTGTCAAGACCTACAAGCCAGGTTAGTTGGGGTCTACATCTACTGCATAATGAGACCTCTTAGGAAATATGGGGGTCATCATTACTGCCCTTCTGAAAAGGTAAGTTCCATAACAGAGTCTGAGTTTGATACTTCTTAGCTGTAGAACTGGAACAAGCACACAGCAATCAAAGTCAGAGAAACGTCAGACCATATCCATATACTTGTTCTGGGTCAGTGATTTAAAAAATACAAAGCCAGGCAACCTGGATTTCCAGAAGGAGAATTCTGCAAAGGCAGCCTTTGTATTTTTCTTATGACATTCCTTTATAAACATTGCAAAGTGAAGTAAAAGAGTGCAGTAACACATTGTAGCCAGTCAGATCATGACTATTTCATTCTGATCGGTTGCACTGACTTCTGGGTACTGGGTTACTGACCTTAAAGTGACCTTGATGCTAGCAAAAAAATAAAAGAGCTCTAAAGTCCCAGCATATACTATCCTGTTATGTGGCCATTGACTATATATTGAGCCTATAGGCACAATTGTAGAGTGCCTACTTGTGACTAAAGCCTTATAATAAAGGACAGAAAGGAAATCCATCCCTAAGAGCAACAAAATTGGTAAACTAAAACTAGCCATACATGCTAAGATTATTCTTAGTCCTGTGGGCTGAACAAGATATAACCACTCAATTCCCCCATCCACACTCTTTAGGTAATCTCCCCTATTGGCTAAAGTATTCTGACAACCGACACTTATGGCTGTCAGAAAACTCAAACAGTGGCTGGTTGCAGTCACTGTTCCACCAAGAATTTTCCACTTGGCGCCCTTGACAAAAGTCAATTAAAGGCTTTTCCCCATAGTTCTCCTTAGGGTAACGGGAGGACACAAACTAGCGTCCTCCCGTCACCCTAGGCTCAGCTACTGCTCGCGGTATACTGAGACGCCGCAGCTGATGCGGATCCCGACAATTGTGCCGGGATCCGCCCAGCTGCGTGACTGACAGCTGGCTCTGCCTAAAAGTGTATTTCCACTTTTGCAGCCTAATTGGGAAAACACCTATGTTATGTTTGTTATATATTTCCGTTTACATTGCATAATAATAAAAAAAAAAATTGCTACTTATATTTTTTAATGTTTTATACTTGCTTAAAAGCCTTACTTAGCTTCCCCCACAGGGGGCTGTGGAAAGTTAGGTGAGGTGAGTCATTTTCACTCAGCCTCATAGTTCGAGCCGACGTGTGACAATGAAACTGTTACACGTCGGCTCAATAGATCGGAAAGTGAGCAAACACATACCGGCGCTCGCTCACTTCTCGATCATGTCCCTGTCACTCACGGCTCCCTGCAGGGATTCCCCCCCTCCCCGCTCCGATCCTCCAGCGCTGACTGGCAGAACGGACTGGGGAAGGGGGCGGGTACAGCTGGCTCTACCTCTAGATAGGCAGAGCCAGCTGTCAATCACACAGCTGGGTGGATCTCGACAGTAATGTCGGGATTCGTCCTGGCTGCGGCGCTCTCAGTATACTGAGCTTTGGGTCACGGGAGGACACTAGTTTGTGTCCTCTCGTGACCCTGAGGAGAACTATGGCGAAAAACACTGACCCCATAGTTCTCCTTTAACCTTGTCTATACTGTGCTGGCAGATTCCATTATCAGTTGTAAACCATATTTGAACATGGTCAGTCCCAACAAAGGGTTAAAGGTCTATAAGCATTGTATGTTAACGAGAAGAAGCTCGGTCCAACCCTCAGTCTGACACTATAGTTTCACTTTCAAACTGCTCAGAGTAGTCTGGAATCTGCACAAAGGTGTTCACCAAAGAAATAACTAAAAGTTAGGTATATTTCGGTATTCTGTGTGCATGGGCAGGGCCGGATTTCCCACATGGCCACCAATGCCCGGCCTCGGGGCAGCAGGGAGTAAAGGGGCAGCAGGGGTGTGTAATTCCTATCGCCCGACATAGACGAGACATGCAGTTTCAGGCGGGTATTTTTACTACATTTAGCCCTGCTTCGGGCAAGCAGGGCTAAATGTAGAGCGGGGAACTTGTCACTCATTTTGTGCAAGTGATCTCGGCGAAGTCGCTGAGATCACTTGTATGCAGCCTGCAGGTCAAAAAGTAAATTGAGGAACCTGGCCTTGGGGCAGCAGAGAGTGTAAATCCGGCCCTGTGAATGGGAACACTTGACAAACATTTAGTGGAGTTTTCTCAAATTTGACTTCAAAAGTGGAACTACACTTTAAGTCCTACTCCACCTCCCCTGGCACTAAGCCCTATCCCATTGCACTTCATGTTGCCTTATGAGGTCATTAAAAATATTAAGGTTTAGCCTTGGCTATGTCCAGAAGGTGCATGTGAAATTTTGTGTGTGATAAGCTTTTTATGTTTTTTAACAACAATCGGCATCTTTGCATTATATTGATAAGGTCAGTATTGGATATTTTAGGGTACTACATGAAATCAGCCTGTGAAATGCTGCGGAATTTTGTGGAATCCACTGTAGCCAAGTTTGGGACATGTGGGGTTGTTGTGTGTGCTTCCTGAAGTCTGCTGCATAACTACCTTTATGGCTGCTTAATGTGTCACAAACCAGATTTAACCTTTCAGGGAATCATATTAGTGGCTATGAGAAACTTAGTACTGACACTTGCACATGTGAGAGACAGTAGGGACCTTAAAGGAGGTGTGTTTGCCAGAGGCGTAACTCGGAACCTCAGGGCCCCAGTGCAAGAAACCATGAAGGGCTTCACCCCCCCCCATAAAAAAATGTCGGCGCCTTGGCAGTTACTGGGTAGTGCGTGTGTGTATTCCCAGGAGGCAGGGCCACCAGTTGAAATCATGGGACCCCTGTGTGGATTGATTAATATTATTTAATAATTTATATTTATTTTAATTTTGTTTTCCTTTTTAGCACATTTTTATTTGATTATGTTTTACTTTTTATAAATTTTTTTCCCCCATTTTTATTTATTTTATTATTTTTTACTTTTTTTTCACTTAACTTTATTGCTATCACACAGGGGCAAACAAGGTACAATAGTGAATAACCCCCTCAGTTTCACATAAGGAATAGCTCTGCAAATTTTTTTTTTTTTAAAACAGCCCTTCCTGTTGCAGGCTGACACAGTTAAGCCACTGCATCACACCTAGCAGCGTTGTCAGCCTGCCCTTCTTCAGTTAACCATTGGGCTGACTATCAGATCTGCAGGAGGCATGTGCAGACCTGAAGGGTGGCCTAACAACCAACTAAAGTAGTGCATATGGCAGGCTTACAATGCTGTTGTTAATTGCAATCAGTGGTTTATCAATGACAGCCAGCAATAGGAAGCACTGTTACTGGCAGAAACTCCAGATTACAGACTTTGCAACCGATTCACAAACAACGATTTGTTTAAAGTAGTATTAAACTCTCAAACTTGTTTTCAGTAATGAATCCAGCAAACAAATATATATTGCCAACTAAACTATTACATTATACTTTTGCCCAAGCACTTACAGTCATTAAGTTTCCAAACAACTCCAACTCTCTCTGCTCCGCTTCCCTGAACTGCCTGTCCAGTGTAAGATCACAAGGGGCAGAGCAGTCTCCAGCATTTATCCATCTATGAGCCTGGAGAACGGAGGAGCGGGGAGTTGGGAGTAGGGAGGAGGGGATGCTTGCCTTGCTGTGGGTGTGTGTTTGTGGAGACACACACAGCTTACTAGCACATGCAAGGGTGACTCCATAGGACCCTACAAGTGAAAGGAGCCACCCTAAAACAGGAGATCAGGGCCAGTGCTCAGGGGGACCAGATGATTTTGCAGGAAATTAAAACTTTTAAATATCAAGGAACTGCATCCATGGTAAGTGATTTCATTAACATATCTAATCGCTTAAAATCATTTTGACGTTAGTATCACTTTAAATAAACTGAATAAAGTGAGGCATAATGCCAAACACACTGAAAAATAGATTTAGGGTTTGCATACACTATACCTTAATTCATTATTAGCCTTTTTTATTTGATAAACATGGTAATGATATTTGCTTATAACAATGTTTTTTATTTTTAATGTGTACCTATTCTAGGTGGATATGCCCCATTTCTGTCAGTGTCAAAGCGGGATTTTGTCTTCAACGCGCCACAGACGGTCTCTGTCGCTCCTGGACCAGGACACTATGAAATATCCAATTTAAAGGTGAAATTAATAATGAAACAGACATTATTCAAACGAGGACAGATATAAATGCGAAGCTGGAATACAATGGAAGCACAAGCCTGTGTCATAGGCCTCCTGCCTGTTAAAGCCCTCTGAGAGCTGGAGCGCTGCTTGTAAACCATCTGCTCCTGCTAATTTCATTCTAATTGCTTTAGAAGTTGTCATTTTTTAACACAATAACACTTTCCTTAATGGACTGAAAATGTCATCCAGAAAACTGTTATTTCCTGAAACCATAACTAGCTTTTACTTAATCTGTAACATAGTGATAGCCCATTCAGGTTGATTAATGAAAACTAGAGAAAAGGAAAACTGAAGGTGTTGTAAAGTACAGGTTATAACTTTTCATATTTTTCAGTTTTGTTATTTCCTCTCATTTGATTGTTATATTCATCTGCTATTATGTAGTGGATTTAGCATATGGAATCTAATAAGTGGTTATAGGCAACTGCCACTTTTTTTGATTCCTTTTTTCCATTAACTTGAGTTATTTATTCCGTATTCGCAGACGTATGTTGATTTATTGTTCTATGAAATCAGACATTTTTTTTATTTTTAGGCCGGCTTAAAGGATAATTAAACCCTCTGGGTTTTTTTGCATCTACTGCTATGCAAAAACATAAAAAAAGTGACCAAAAGGTTAACATTTACCTGTGTCTTCTCCACGCGCTCCCGTCCGAAGATCTGAAGATTCTCGGGCGGCCGCAAAGGATCATGTGGCGGGCGCATGTGCAGTAGAGATCTTTGGCTGGGAGAAGAGGAGAGACACAGGGTAAGTCAATGCCAGCATTGGGACACAGAAGACACAGCAGTCCGTGCTGGATCAGAGGTCGGCACCAGCGCTGGAGGGACTCCTAAAAACTAGTGGAAAGAAGATGATCGGATTAAGAGGCATCATTTAAGGTAAGTCCTTACACCAACATGGAGGGGGGGGAAACAAATGTGACTTTAACCTCTTGCCGTCCGCCCGTAGTAAAAAAACGGACGGACGGCACTGCAGCATCTGCGGGTTGCCGTCTCCAGACGGCAATTTTTTTCTGCTCGCGCGCGCCCCCTAGCGGGCACGCATTGTATTGTTTTAATGCACACAGTAGTGCAATGCACAATACTGCACCAGGTGCACATGTGTTGGGGTGGCATTCATTTTAAATGGCAAACCAACTCACTAAAGCAACACACCTGCATTTCAACATGCAGCAACACGCGGTAACACACTACCATGCATTGCTGTGCAGAGTGTTTATAAAAAAGGGTCAGGTGCAGTTTCTTATGCGCTGATACAAAATGGCTACCTTGGTGCAAATCACAATTATATTCCCTTTTGATAAGCTCTTTAAAAATGTATGTATTGGCAAAATTGAACAAAGATTAACATGCGCAGCACATCCCTGCAATACATGCATATTTCCCCATGTTTTACCCTTTTATAAACACTGCAAGTACAGAAAAATACTTGTTCACCTGTCACAAACCCAGTGAGCTCCTAAATTCATGTTTGAGCTGAAAAAAACACAGTGCTTCTGCTGCACTAAAATTCCAATCAGCGCTGTCAGCCAGCCTGAGCTTTCATCTGCAGGACTACAGCACATTGTTATCGCTCCTTATCTGCATAAGGTGGAGATATTCTGTAGTACAGCAGACAGGCCCGGATTTCCCACAAGGCCACCGAGGCCCGGCCTCGGGGCGGCAGAGGGCCGACGGGCGGCAGCGGTGACCTTGTGGGGAAGTTGCGGGCGCCGGTGTAAGGTATCCGGCGGCCGCACACTACGGTCCGCCGCCATCCAATCACGACGGGGCGGCCCGAGGCTCCGCCCACCGGCTCCGTAGTGTGCGGCCG